CACTGCTACTACACTACTACGACTACTACTACTCGACGTACTAGGTATGCCTATAGTAGTACAAACAGTTAGTTTTGTACGTGATTGCCATTCAATCGTTGACCAGAGTTACCAAGAGAATCTGGATTCCAACACGATGCTTGTCTAGTTCCACCTATTCGTGTTCAAATGGTCTCAAGTCTCATATTGCCAGTTTGCCTGTATTTTCTAAATTGACGGTACCCTTCGTAGTTCTCCAGGTTTCTGCAAAATCGCTCCAACAGTATTACTAAATCACATCATCACTATGCTAGATGTCTCGTACAGCAGGTCGTGGATCACATTGGCACTTGGGACGCTCTCGCAACCGCGATAAGCATAGCACAATCACTACCGAAATAAATCCACTCAGATCAATAAATTTGTTGACGCAAAAATGCACAATAGACAAGTGTTCATAAATGGACATTTGTGGTTAGAACATAAATCCATATGTGCATCACTGTAACTACAACAAAAGTTTCAATAGTACTAATAATACGACTGCCGTACTTCTAATACTCAACTAACTACACTACAAGTCATCCATAGTAGTACAACAGTTAGGGGTAACGTGATTGGCGATTCAATCGATTACAGAGTTAACATGAGAAGGCTGGATTTCACCAACCGATGCGTTGTCAGAGTTCCCATCCAATTCTTGTTCAAATGTCGCATGTCTATGTCCAGTTTTGCCCTGTATTATAGTCTAAATGACGGCCTTCGAAGTGCTCCCGGTTTCCCTGCTAAATCGGCAACAAAGTAACTAAATCACAACGCGATTGTCTCGAAACAGGTGCAGTCCGTGGATCACCAGTGCACGTTGGAGCATCTCACTCACCGCAGCTAGCCTAGATAGCACAAATCCACACGACAAAATATAACTCATCAGTCAATAATTGGTTTACGAAAAACTGCACATAGACTGCGCTCATAATGGAATGTGGTTATTCATAGATCCTCAATTGGGCAATCATTAAAACTTACAACCAAAATGTTTTAAACAAGGACTCTATCGTTCGACTACTTTACTAAACTAAACCTGCGACTTACAAGTATTCCTGGATAGAAGTACAACATTAGTGGTACACGTGATGTGCAATCAATCGTTGACAGGAGTTTAACATGAGTAATGCTGGTCTGCATCACCGATTACTTTGTGCCTAGTTCCTATTCCAATTCTCGTTCAATGGTCTCATGTCTAGGGCCCATTTGCTGAATTTTCCTAACAGACCGGCCTCCGTAGTTTCTCACCGGTTCGTCATGCGATATCGGCCAACAGAAGTAATACGATAATCACATACGCGATTTCTCTCACTAGGCAGGTCGTGATCATCATAGCACTTTGATCTCTCGACTCACCGCCAGAGGCTATGCACATATCACACGAAAAAAAAGTTAACTCGCAGTCAATCAATTTTGTGACTAAAAATGCACATAGACTGCGTGGTCATTAATGGATGTTGGTATTTCATATATCCTATTGTGCAGTCATGAGATACTACAACACAATGTTGTGTACGACTGCTACTGACGACTTTTACTACTATCTACTTACTCTACTACTACTACTTACTAACTAGACTTCTTCTGACCTGATACTACTAGGTCAACCTGATATGAGTACTCAGTTATTTTCGTGATTGCATGCAATCGGTTGACAAAGTTAACCATGAGAATGCGGGATTCACACGATTTTCTTTGCTACGGTCCAAGTCCATCACTATTCTGTTCAATGGTCTCGCTGTCTATTTCCATTTGCCTGTAGTTGTCTAAATCGACGGTGCCTTTCGTAGTTCACCAGGTCTGGCAAAATCGGCAACATATCTACTAAATCAAGACATCGCGATTTCCTACAGCAGTCGGGGATCACATTGCACTTGAGCCTCTCTCACCGCATACATAGCAACAATCACAAGATTACAAATAATAGAACTCAGTCAATAACTTTTTACTAAAAATGCACATAGAACTGGTCAAATGAATGTGTTATCCTATAGCCTATTGTGCATCATTAACCTACAACAAAATGTTTACTACTACTACTACTACTACTACTACTACTACACTACACTACACTACTACAACTACAATCTGCCTGATAGTAAGTACAACAGATAGTTTACGTGATTGCCATTCAATCGTTGACAAGTTATACAATGAGACTGCTGGATTCACACGATGCTTTTCCTTAGTTACATCCAATTCTCGTTCAATGGTCTGCATGTCTCTATGTCCATTTGCCTGTATTTTAGCAAAATGACGGCCGTCGTAGTTTCTCCAGGGTTCCTGCTAAATCGGCAACATAGTACTAAATCACAAACGCGATTTCTCTACAGGCAGGTCGTGGATCACAATTGCACTTTGAGCTCCTCTCACACACGCACCCTCTCAGCCGCATAGCCAAAGCACAATCACATTCGACGAATCATATAACTCAGATCAATAATTTGTTAGCTAAAACATGCACATAGACTGGTCATTAATGGAATGTGGTTATTCATAATCCTATTGTGCAATCATTAACTACAACAAAATGGATATGTACTGCTACTGCTAACTACTACGTACTACTACTACTAATCTATTCCTGATAGTAGTACAGACAGATAGTTAACGTGATTTGCATTCAATCGTTGACAGAGTTAACATGAGAGAATGCTGGATGCACACGGATTCTTTTTCTAGTTCCATCCAATTTCTTGTTCAATGGCGTCCTCATGGCGAGTTCTCATTTGCCTGTATTTTCCTAGGAATGGACGGCCTTCGTAGTTCTCCAGGTTTCTGCTAAATCGCAACATATTACTAAACACAACGCGATTTCTCTACAGGCAGGTCGTGGATCACAGTGCACTTTTTTTGAGCTCTCTCTCACCGCCTAGCCAATAGCACAAGCCACACGAAATAAGATAACTCAGTCCATAATTTGTTACTAAAAATGCACATAGACGGGTCCATAATGGAATGGTGGATAGTCATAATATCCTATTGTTGCATCATTAACCACACAACAAATGTATTCACTTAACGACTGACTACTACTAGCG